GAGTGAAAGTCATGAAGAAATGGGGGTCTCCTGACTCTCTCTCTCTCTCTCTTCAGTGTTCAACTTCAATCGGGAGGTTCCGACCTTTCTCTCCTTAGAAAATTAGAAATGACGGATTACGGATATGAGCATCCACATGGAAAGAAAGAGGATATGGCTTCAGATATTTCTCTAGGTCCATATTGAGGAAACGAAGTAATCATTCACTGATTTATATTACAACTATATGCTCCTACTTTCTTTATTTTAATACTGGTAAATCTCGTTCTAATAGTCTAAAGCCTCAATGGAAAGGGCGAAAAAGAGATGGGTCCATTGAGAAACAGAAGAGATTCGTTTGGTATGGAGCTTGAAAAGAAAGGCTGTCTGTCTGAGGATTTGGCTGGTTGTGGTGTCCTTTTCCTTTTCATTCTCTATCTTCTCCTGGCTGATAGAATAGCATGCTATGAAAGTGCCCGCTCCCTTTCCCCTATTGTCATTGCTTACCCGCTACTATTTGTTTTTTCGCTTGCTAGTTGGTATCTGCTAGTGTGTGTCTATGAGATTCTATGCTCGCTAGCTCTTCTATCGCACCTCCGGCCTACATGATTCTTTTTCTCCTTTTTTCACTTAACCTGTTTGTAAATTTGAAGGAAGGAAAAAGGAGTTAGTATTTGTGAAAAATGAGCTTGAAAATGGTGATTTAAATTATAAGTTAAAGAGAATTAAATAGGAAATAAATATTATGGTACTACTACTTGTTTACTGTTTCTTTAACAAGTCGTAAAATTACTTTCCTAAAACCCACTATACTCAACATATTATCCTTCAATTTTCAACTAAAGTTTTTTGCTAATTGTTTCTTTAAACTTCTCCTAACCAAAACAAACCGATTCTAATATTTTCTTTTCTTTTAATCCTTAAATCATATGATCCATCATAGCACAGAGTTTTTAACGTTGTAGGGAAGCCTTTGCACTTGCGACGAGCATATACAGTGGAATACATTGGATGAAGCTAGCCGGCTAGCTAGCTAGCTGTCGAAATCGTAAAGAAACTAGACCGAGTTTCGTTCTATCAAAAGCAAAATGAACCACACGTTTCCGTCAATGTTACAATGATAATTTGACTGATCCATCATCAAAATAGAAGCATCGGGGGATCACTATCATCTCTCTTGTTGCTTTTGCTGACTTCAGAATCAGCAAAACAAGATTAATAGTAAAAGGGTCTGTAATTGTACTCAGCAGCGAAGCTCCCATTTCCACCCCGACCAAAAACAAGGGTTAACGGGGGTCTACTAATTTGCTTGAGGTACGAAATTTATTACTTCTATCTTTACAGTTGATATATAATTTCATTAAAAGAAATTGAGTGATTTGTTTCGATTTCTTTTTGTCCAAATTTTTGTTATTTATTTTTATCCACTTTTACAAAAAAAATAATATTAAGTTTTATTTTTAAACAATTTGTAAAGAGATAGAAACAATGTTTTTTTTAGTAATAGCATAAAATTGAGTATATGATAAAAAATTATGAAAAGAAAATTGCAAATGAGGGAACGATTTTTATTGGTTAAAGTGTCTAATATATTTTTAGGGAGTCATCTTAATGTTGTGATCCTCAAAGTTTGCAAAGAGAAACAATGGACAGGAGCATGAGTAAAAGCTTTAGTCAACGGTTAACTTAGATAATGATTAAAGAAGATCATTTGGGTGTAAAGGCTATGCTATTGGTAAAAGAAAAATCCCCACAATTTT